CGCAGCTCGATTCTGGACCAGTTGCAGTCGCCGGACCGTCTTCAAAGGCAGCCCCACGTAGAGCGCATTGCAATAATCTATATGAGATGTTACCAGTGTGTGTGTAACTGTCGTGAGACTCCGCTCGTCCAGGTAGGGCCGCAGCTGGTATAATTTCCGCAGCTGAAGGAAGGCGCCTCTGGTCAACGAGTCCACCTGGGCTTCCAGAGTTAGACTGTGGTCCAGGAGCACCCCCAGGCTGCGGACCCTGTCCCTTGGGGGGAGTGTAATCCCATTCAGGGCAGGGAAATGGCCCTCCAACCTGTCCGGCAAAGCACCCACTAACAGCACTTCCGTCTTGTCTGGATTGAGTTTCAATTTATTAACCCTCATCCAGTCCATTATCAGGTCCAGACACGAGTTCAGCACAGAAACCGCCTCACTTTTGTTTGTTTGGGTCCAGCTTTTCTTGAAGTTCTGTTTTGATAGTGATTTATAGTTACATTGCCAACAACAAAGTACAGTATATACCCTTGAAACTGATTCGGGTTTAGTTTATGTGAAAAAAATGTGAATTACATTATAGTGCCATTTTGAAGGAGAGTAAAAGAAATGACACACTCACTGAGGCTGTCCAACACCATCCTGAAGCATGTTGTTGAGGAATAAAGGACATTTCTAAATGCCATAGTTAACAAAACAAAAAAAAAATCAGATAATAGTTCAGAGATTGAGAAGAGTGTTGGTTTTGTGTTTCATTTGGCAGGACAAATCACAGAAATAGGTCTGCTTATTTCATTGTTTTTTCTTGAATAGTAATAGTGATGAACATGATAAGATTGTTGATGATAATATTGATATTGGCAAGTAAAGAGGAAGAAGTCATTTGTGCATCAGAATATCAGTCTGCCAGTAGAGACTTTATTTAAATTAAATTAGACTCTCTAAATCAATTTGCTGAATGTGAAATAGCCTTATATATGCCCAATTATTCAATGCTTTTGTTCAAGTTCAGCCCGAAAACATTGCATTTAAACTGAAAAACACACTAGGGCAACTGCAGATGTAATGCTTGTGGATGCTCCTTCCTCCTGTCCCCTTGCAAGAAGAATTCTCTTTACAGTGATTCAGCCTTATGACTGATGATCAGTGTACTTGTGGAAAATTCCTGAAGGTGCTCTAAATCTGTCTGCTGGAATTCAGGATCTGTACTTCTAGATGTTAATTATGGTTAATGGTGATCATGTTTAATAGTGAAAGGACAGATGCAAAATTAGGATGCTGGAGGCACGGATCTTGCTGTTCCATAGCTTGACGCCAATTCTTTAATTGGTGTTAGGGGTTGCACAACAGATCGCAACAGTCATTGGCCAAAATCTTGTTCCTATGCTAAAGTAAATTGCAGTCAGAATAGGCTCATTTGAATCAATGGAACTTACAGAGGAGTTGACTAATTGAGTCCCTGTTAGTATAGTGAGCCTACTCTAATGCAGTTTGCTATGCTAGGCAACAGATTTTTGTCTATTAGATAGGTAGTAATCTATGTTTCGGAAAGCTTGTGTCCACACCGCCACAGCATGGTTTTTCACTGTGTTTTGAATCTTTCTATTTCTTTTAAAGAGGCCAGAGGCAGTCTGAAGAGGAATTGGAGAATAAATCTGCTTATTTAAATGAAAATCAGGAAGGAGGAAAAGAGAAGCAGTTGTTCCTCAATACAGGATTTGCAATACCAGTACAAAATGCAACATGTGGTAACCACAGAGCTCAACATGACACCAGCAGGAGAAGAGAATTTGATGAAGAATCTTTAGAGAGCTTTAGTAGCCTGCCTGATCCAGTGGATCCAACTACAGTGACTAAAACATTTAAACCTCGGAAAGCTTCTGCACAGGCCAGTCTGGCTTCAAAAGACAAAACGCCGAAGTCCAAAAACAAGAAGAGGAATACTTCTCAGTTTAAAAACCGGTCTAGAACTAATGGTAAGTTCACATTATACAGGACTGATTTGGGATTGTTTTATGTTTGTGTCACTGCCTAATTTGGGTGCTTTTGAGGATAGGGTGGTTGTGAGCACTGGAAAGTAGCCAAGAGGCTATGGTTTTTCCAGTACTCACAACCACCATATCCTCAAAAGCATCCAAATTAGGCAGTGACACAAACATAAAACAATTTTTTTGTATGACACTAGGTTGTGTTGCCAAACAGCAGCTTGGCAGTTTCCTTTTCTTTCCCTTAAACAAAAGCCCCTTGATGATCCAACTGCTAACCGAGGTTTTGCAGCCAGCCTCTCTACACCCTGAGAACTTTGTTCTCCCCTATGCACAAGTATAAAGAATATACTTTTCCTCCATGACTTCTTGCAGCATATTTTTGTAGTTATCTGTATTGTACATGTTAACATCCACAACAGAATAACAGATTAGTATTTATTAAAGTGTAATTTATTATGTAACGAAGGGATTCTTGACTTACAAAGAATTAATAAAGTATACCCATTTTGATACCTTTTAGTGTAGTAGGCCAATTATCCTTAAATAGTCGTCAGCTGCCCTTTGTTATTGTTGCACATTAAGGGTGTTGGTAACAGTGTGAAATCCTCTACTTTTCATATGTATGTTCATGAAGAGGCATTTTTAGTTTGCATTGATAAACGTAGCTTCAAGAAACCAAGCCTTTGTCGTGAACTGGTTATCTGGAGTAAATGTAAGGTGGTTATATGGAATAACTATAACCTTACACATGCTTCCAAAACAGAATAAGAATCTATAGCTTTAGGCTGCTATACTGCAGAGGGTCAAAGAAAAGTAAAATAAAAAAATGCAACTTTTATAAGCAAGTTTGACCTGGGATCACTGTATCAAAATGACAAGCCACCAGGTCATAGCAGATGAAGCTTCTCTGGGTAGCAATCCCAAGGAAGGCTCATAAATCTTCTATGAGAGGTAGGGCCTTCTTTCTAGTGGCTACACCTTTGTGGAATCAACTCCCGGATTGGGAAATGGAGATTCCAATTAGATTTTATGATTAATACTAGACATGGGAACGAATAAAAAATGGATTGCAAATCGATTTCGTCAGAAATCGCTGATTTGTTAAATATTCATCCCATCATATTTGTGGGTTCCAGAGACCCTGATGAATATGAAGGGACAAATATTTTCCCATTTTTATTCATTCCCCCATAGGAAGAGAGGGAAGGCTAGCCTTCTCTCTCTTCCTATGGCTTTCCCATTCTGCCTACCGGCCTGCCAATCACCTGATTGCCAACCTGATAGGCAACCACCCACCCCCACAACCTATTCCCTGCCCCTTCCTCTCCCTACCTTAGCTGCTCCCTGCCCCACTACCCCCACCGTAATCGTCCCCCATCTCCAGCTGACCTCCCCAGCCATGGCCTGTAGAAAGGGACACTGGCTGCCCTTTGCAAAGATGGCAACTGAAGCCAGAGCTGCCATCTTTGCAAAGGGCAGCCAGTGTCCCTTTCTACAGGCCATGGCTGGGGAGGCCCGCTGGAGGTGACGGTGGCGACTACGGTGAGGGGGTGGTGGCCGGGGCATCAGGTGTTTTTTGAAAAAAAAAAAACACAAATTGACGAATAAATTTTGTGCTTCGTGTGTTAATGGGGGGGAGCTTTATGCTTCGTCAACTTTTCATGAAGCAGGACGACTCTCCAAAATGGTGAGTCTTCCCCCATCACTAATTAATAGTCATTGATAAACAGTTCTGTTGACTTTATCTAATACTTTTATGATCTCTAAGCCATTATTTGTATGTAGAAATTGATCTTTTAAAATATATTAGTTTGAAAGCTTTTAAAAAATATTAGTTGATGTAGAAATGCAATATTTAGTTTAATTTTTAGACTGTTAGAGTAACTTTTTCTTCAAGTTCTAAAAATGGATATTTTCATTTAAGGTTTTGAAAGTGCCAGTGTTTCAAGTACATGTGAACCTTATAGGAATTCTAGAAGCAGACACTCAGCTCGGAAAGAAGAAGTTGTTCAAGCAAAACTATTTAGTAAAAATCGGGAACAATTGGAAAAAATAATTAAATACAGTAGATCATCAGAAATGTCCTCAGGTACATTTGTAAAAATTGGTTCCCATTCTGAAGTTTTCATTCTGAAATGATTTTATTTGTGGTGGTTTGAAGAGTGCATAATTAGAATTGGCATCAGGATTATTTTAGTAATGGTGTAGATCTTATTAATAAAATATTTTTTGCAATTAGCATCTCCGTTATAGTGGTAGAGATGCAATATTGCTCTTGCAAATACAGTATGTATGGAATTTTAGGTTCTATTCCAAAATAAAATTTCTTTTTGTTGTTTCTTTCAGTTTTAATTTCTGTGCAATATAAGCAACAATGTATAGATTCAAATTCCTGACTGAGATCCTGCTACCATAAGTTACAATGCATATGGCTGAGGATATTGTCAGCTGTGACCATTTTTCTGAAGTGTAGTATTTCCAGTTCTTCTCTTGAAAGTCCTGAGGCTCTTGTAATCGCTTTCATTGCCAGGAAGCTATTGGGGGCTATAAACCAGGATGGCGTACTTTTAATTACCAAAAATTGCTGCGAGTGGGATGACATTACCAGAGCTTCCTGGTGATGAAAGTAATTATACCTTTGGGGGAGAAAGTGAAAGTGTATAATTTCTTGGAAAATTGGGATGGCAGATCATGTAATGAGCCGTATATAGCATAATCTACATGAGATTTCAACCTCTTATTTTGAAATTTTCGTTTACTAGATTTTATTGCATTGTAGTAATTCTGTTAACTACAAATAATGTAGCCCCTACAAATAATGTTCTGTTCAGCATTGTATGTCTTTGCTTGTTTAGAGATATATGCAAGTATATGTTTGGTTAATAAGTTGGACTGAGAGTCAAGTATACAGAGCAGGGCTGGCAGAAGAGAACTTCTCTATCCATTTCTTCAGGCTTTGGAAGTAGCTACTTTTAAATAATCAGTTGCTTATAAATAACCCTCTTTTCAAATAACAAAAGTTACAGTATGATTTTAAATTTATGAAGGATAGGGTTACTCCTTTGTTTGAACTCTTTTTTTAGTTATTTCTATAGTTACAGAGATATGTTGTAAATGAAGAAGGAATATGGAGAATTGATTCTGAGTTGTGTTTTAAGCTTTACTCTCTTTTGTAGCAATAATTATGAGAAGCTATTCTAGTTACTTTAGAAAACAGGAAAGTAGATAACTACTTTTTAAAGAAATGTTGCTTTATCATCAGCCACCAGCAGGGCTAAAACTATGACTGTAATTAATTATGCTTGAAAAATAACTTTCCAAACTCTATACAGTGGTGCCTCGCTTAACGGGTGCCCCGTTTAACGACTAATCCGCATACTGATGAAGATTTTGTGATCGCAAAAGCGATTGCATAACAATGTTTTCAATGGGGAAAAATCGCAAAGCGATTTTTCCCCATACACCCCACTTTCGCGGAGCTGACCGGCGGGGCTTCGGGATGATCGCGAGGAGCGCTTTCCCCCATCATCCCGAAGCCCCTGCCGATCAGCTGGGCGAAAATGCCGGCTTCGGGATGATGGGGGAGCGCTTTCTCCCATGCCGAAGCCCGCATTTTTTCCCAGCTGA